AAACACAATTTTCAATATCTGAAGACAAACTAATAAGCAAGGGAAAAGAGAGAAAACATTGTGGACGATACTGATGATAATAAAAGTTGTGTTTCTAAGGCCCACTTGTCAACTGCATTTGATGTTTGCCCTTTCAGAACCCGATGAAAGAATGCCCTCTCATATTTCGTGAGACACATACGTGGATCTGTTGACATCACTTTCTGATATCCACAAGGAATATGGTCATATGTGCACAGGAATAAAAGTAATTGAAACATGCAAACAAACAAATGATGAAACAGTTGGGGGGGGGGGGGAACCAAGAAAGGAACAATCTATATTGAAACAATTAAACAAGTAAAAGTCTTGCATTCCTCACTCTCCCTCCTCCCACAAAAATAACATAAAAGCAAAACACACATCCCTCCCACAAGTCTATACACTGCTCCGCTATCCTGTGTACCACTGAGAGATTTTCAACTATCATAGCTGAGGCTGATCACTGAAGGTCACCTCAATTTGTGTGAATGTTCCTTGAAGGAACATTTATCTTTACTGTTTGCTATGACATGAAACACAGGCAGCTTGAAAAGCATCTAAAGTTTGGATGTACGAAGACGGCCAGATTACCTGATCGTGACTTAATGGAATGTTTAAACTTCTTATATTTTCTCTGACAGGAAATTCTAGTACTCATGACCTGCCTGGGATGAGGGGCAGTTTTTGGTGCGTCAGTTCTGCTCCAGCATTTCTCAGAATAGCCTAATATCTTTCACATTCCAGAGGCTAAACATATTTCAAGGAGCAAAAATGAATACACATTACAAACAAACCTTAAAACCTAGAACTCAGAAACACTGGACAACAACCAGTGAAAGGAGCATAGAAGTAATAAAAATTATATGTTTCCACTGAAAATGAAAAGCTAGCCAACAGCGTTTCCATTCAAGACCGACAAGATTCAGTTTTAAGTAAATATGAGAAATAAAACTTAACAAGGTCAAATGAATATACAGTGCACAAAACAAACAAATAAAATGGTGCTACGGTGCATACAACAACAAAAATTTCTTCCACAACAACTAATGAAGCTCTCATAAACAATACGCTCCATCCCTGAGATAATAATGTTTTCCTACGAAGCCATGCATATTTGTATTAGCCTTTGTTAATATCATAAATATTTTGTCAAGCAAAACATGTTGGCTTCTCAGGTGCCATATAGCAGTCACAATTGGAGACTACGCATGCTTATCTCAATGTGGAGCCCATCACTTCTTCTAGAGCTACCAAAAACTGGTCTTGATATCCAGTAATCAAAAAGAGATTTGTAGACACCACTTTTTTAAAGAGGGAAGAAATTGTTCATTGTCTCATCAGAAGATGAACAAAAAGTTTTTGAATTTAGGAAACTTTTCAAAAAGTGTGAGCCCTACTCCAAAGATAACTTGGCTGGATTCCCACTTCACCATGACACTGAGCAAAGTCCAGTCCATTCTACTCATTTCCTCTTCTACCTTCATTAAAAACAAGGATATACACAAACAACAACACAAGCTGAAAACTGTCATTACTCAAAAATCTCGCAACACACATCAGAACGACAGTACCCTTGTGCCTTGACAGTGGATCACAGTAAAAGAAAAGGTGGGAACTGAAATGACTGAAGCAAGGTGCACTCTCTATGGAAAGTGTTGAGGGAAAACATTAATCAGTATCACATATTTTCTATTTTATTCTTCTTTTCTTGACAACCAACATCTCTGAGCAAAGTTTTGACAGACATTGAAACATTCAAAACAAACATCACGGTGATTTGAGCAATTAATAATAATCAGGAAAAAGACGTGCTTACTTGAACAAACTGTACTGTGCATCACATAAAAAAGGCAAGAAACACTTACCATAAAAAAGAAAAAGAAAATAAGAACATTTTTATAAGCCACTTCATGTTGGGCTTTTTTCCAATGTCTTTTTCTTCTCTATGACTAAGTTTGGAAAATATGGAAAACAGACTACCTTTATCATTATACTGCTGAGGTAAGTGCTACAGCCCAAATGTACAGATCAATATAAGTTTTACTTTCAATATTAAGTACAGCTTTTCTGGTTCAGACTATCCATTAACTCAAAAACCATGAGTAGACATTGAGAGCAGCCAGTGAAACTCGCCCAGTCCCCGAGTGGATGGTCCCAATGTTCAAATAGAGTGTATGAAACATTACTGGGAATACAATTTTCATGAGGGCCAAGAAAGTTTATTTAGACCTGGAAATGATAGAAAGATAGGTTAACTACTTCCTCTGTAACTTTGACAGTTTCATTGAGTTTGAGAATATTTTTGCAAATGTTTTGATCACCTGTGTGAGGCGTTTATATTTCATCTCAACAACAGCAAAACCATGAGTGTTCGAGCAAGACATCTAACAGCTAAACAAGCGATGCAACTGTACGAAGCAGTAAATTAACATGGTTTAAAAAGCGAACACTTTGAGTAAGATGAGGATGAATGAGCTGCCGGCCCCTCGAGTGATGCAAGATCTAGTAGTGGACAAGAACACAGCGACAGTGAGTGGTCAGATTTAGACCCGTCACAGCAATGAGCTGATTGCAGGGGAAAGTCAGAGTTATCCGAACGTCAATCAGGTCCTAGCTAAAAACAAAGGAGAACGGTAACAGCTAGAACACTCTAGGAGTTCCTGCTGTTGTTAAGACAATCATGAATCAAACTGATCCTGAATAACAGCCTCCTCTTCTGTGCTTGGCAAGAGAAGAAGGCAAGAAAGCCAATACTGATCATATCAAGCAATGCACAGGAAGCAGATGCAAGAAGAAAGGGGATGGCGAAGTCATCAGTCATCGACTCACACAACATAAGAAAGAGCAGCTGCGACAAGGCAAATAAAATGATAGGACAGAACTTTTTTTTTATCGCAAAAGCAGGAAATGGTGGAAAAAGCTTGACAGTGCCAAGTCTGCAGCAAACCAGGCAAAAAGAAGTGATCTGGCTATGTCTGTGAGGGATGCCTGGGTCAACCCCACCTCCATCCAAAGGACTGTTTCAAGATCTGGCACACTCGCGCAGTTCTCTACATGTTCCTCAGCCAGCATTTGTGCTTGTTCGCAAAGAGAATGGTGTAGATAGTGTAAAATGCAGCAAACTCTTCGTTTTCATTAATATTTTTTCTTGTCCTCAAAATCTGACATGTGTTCTACGCTAAGTCCCTGAGTTATAAAATTTCAAAGCTGTGCTCAATTTTTTATGCTCAATTTAATCACACTGGACTGCCTTCACCACAAACAGCTGACCAGCCACCTGAGGCGGATTTATCATCTTGTCATGGAAGTGGGTCTAAGCATTGTGTCTGTCAACAAAATCTCTTTAAACGTCATGTTTTTACACATCTAATGACATTAAATAAATAGTACAATCAATTATCTTTAACGTCACGCATAATTTTTGGGTGGGACCATGTTTTTGGCCTTTTTATTAATATTTTTCAAGATCTGGTAAAAATTCCATCAATAAAAGAAAAATTATTCAGGGGTTAAAAAGTTAAAGCAAACATGACCTCTAACCAAAACCAAACTGAGCATTTAACACTTTGCAGTCACACAGCCAACAGTACAAAATACCCCATCTGGTCACCCAGCCAAAAGAGTGACTGAAACAGACTTCTCAGGCCTGTCGAAGAACTGCGTCAAGTGACTGGAATGGATAATTTTCATCGTCGCACTATTGCGGCCAAAGACCGCAAAGTGTTAAAAAAACATGCAATACACACAAAAAAATGTAAAAGACCAACCATATCATCAAATACAAATCTGTTCACTGGTTTAAAAAAGGAACATCATAGAACATGAAAGGTGAACACAAAACTGGTCAATTAAATTAGAACTGACGGCAAACAATTATCCTCCATGTTTATATTTCGCACAGCATCACAGTAAGATCAATCGCATCCGTTATTTCACAACAAAGCCCTCAAATGTGCTCACAGTTGTGTAAGATGGCCACCCATCACAACACAGATCTCTTCCTGCATCCTCTTTTTTTAGGCATTCTCTAAAAAAATGTTCTGGTCATCAATAAAATTACTGTAAAACCAAACTTTTAAAAACCTTAACAATGAAGTAGAAATGACTTGAAAAAGACTCCAGTATGCAAATCTTTTTTTTATCTGTAACTGTTGTAGCACAACAAAAACAGCTGAAGCAACTAACCAAAAACAAAGGCAACAGCTTCACCTTTTCATCCATTCGGACAGAGACATTTTACTTCCAGATTTTACAAGGAAAATATGTCAAGCTCTGCCACACATATTCAGGTAATGGCTAGGTGTGCTACTGACTATTAGAGAACCAGCCTCAAACATTTGGTGCTCAATGATGAAAAAAAACCCACAAATTTAGTCTGTAAGATGATGAAATTAAAAAAATGTGAGACCTCTTGTCAAAGACCTTGGCACAAATCATCCACCTCTCTAATGAGTGAAAGTACAGAAATTTGGGGCTAAAAAGGGGCAGGAATTTGTTTACCTAGTTAGACCACATCTATTCTAAAAAAGAATGAGTCCTCTGCTGAAGGACTCTCATAGATATTAGTATGAAAACTAAGGCCAACACTAAGTTTCACTTTGCAGCAGGCAAACATATGTTTTTAATAGATAATTCCAGTGAAAATAGAGCCCCCAAACGACCCGCAAAAATCAAACAGACTTGTTTTAAACAAGTGATTGAGAAAAGGCCTAACTGACAATAATTAAGACCAATATATGGTCTTTACCCAATCAGCCAAACCCTTATATATAGATGATTCATGCTTTCAGTCACTGACATGGCAATCTGGTCAACGAAAAAAAAAACAGGCAAAAATTGTGTTAAAAACATTCACAGAGAGTGAAAGCCACCTATAGAGACATTTCAACATTGAGGCTCCCACATGCAAGTCCCAGTCCACAACACCACACTATGAGGCTACAACAGAAAGGGTCAAGGCCACTGAGCATCAAGGTCACCTGGAAGGGCAGGAGCCAGCCAGGGACTGGGTGCTGTTGGTGCCGGCAGACAGGGAGGAGAAGCCACTCTGGCAAGATTGCAGGCTGGACATGGATCCTCTGTGGAGAATAAAAAATAAAACATCTCACAGCCAGGGTGAAAGGATGGCATTCGCCTTTCATTTGTTCCTTCACTTTTTTGTTTGTTCCTACAATTGTCAACACGCAAGTTTAAATTTAACATGGCATCACTTTTCGCCCGATTCTGTTACTTTTAGTTCGCGTGACTCAGCAGCCCGCCGGAGCTCCCCGGATGGGTTAATGAGCCCTGAAGCGACTTTGCCGATGTCGGTTAGGAGGTTCGCATTTTTGACTATGTTTAAAACGATATAACTTCTTCCCCATCCCACATAGCAAACCATTACGCGGATGTACTAAAAGCTCAATGTCTTGAGATTTATTCTGTGTTAGAATGGTTAATTTCTGTGCCTTAGTTTTTGTTCTAGACAAGTGTTTGTAGAGTACCCAATTTGTCCTATTTTAGTTACAAACTTATGAATAAATGATTGTTAATTTTAAAAAGGCACGACATATCTCTCCAAAATCTGTGTTAAACTGACTACGAATATCATGTCTTTTACCATGAGAAATCTTAAATCTGCGCGAGTAGAAATAGTCGAGTTATAAGAGAAGAAAGATGCACATCTGCATTTTTTAACTAAAGACAATCAGCGTTAGCTCTTATTTTACTATAAAACAAGAGAAAGTTACTCTGCGTTTGTTCATGAATCATGCTGTGTCTGTGGCAGCCTGCATACAACTAAAAAGATATAGAATCTCAGCAATTAAAAAAACCACAAAACTGTGTAAACACATGGGTAGAGATAAACTTCTTGTATGGAATAAAAATAATGACAGCTAACACATTCATTCTTAGTTTTTGTGTCAGAAATATGCGCGGACACAATTATGAATGTAAAGAAATCAGTCACATTGTCAGTTATTGCAAATGGTCATGGAAACGAAAAATAAAGCTGGAAAAGTCTGGTGCTGATTCAGTGTCCCTGGAAAGCTAGAAATTATTCTTATAACCCCATTACGAGAAGTCATCCCTATTATTCAGTCAGCTTAGGCCTACAAAACCTAGACTTAGCGTTTTAAGAAAAGTAAGGAATTTGTAAAGTGTAACAGGTGCTGTTCCTGTATTAGATCTACATTGATGATGTATTCTAGCACTGAAATCGATTTGTACTTTTCATAGAGAAACTTCATGGTGACTTTTATAAACTTTCGAGAAAATATGCGAATATTCACTATTATATTAGACATATTAAGTTGTATTTGGAGGAATTACTTCATAGCGAATTGTGTGCCGATGGATAAAGTTGCAAAATTACAGCTTTCTATTATATGCCCAGATACCATCTTTTCTGAGTATCTGCACCAATGCTATGTCGTTCGTGTTACAAAAGTTTGACAGATTTTGACGAGGCCTTTTTTTTATATTGATTTTTTTTCATTCACGCTAGTCCAAAAAAAATTACAATTTAGCATTGCCGACTCCAGCGCGTCTAACGAAATAACCAGACAAGTTACAACGTCCATTCTTTTTTGAGTCTCAAGAGCAGAAATGCATGCTTTGGGCACACAAAATGAGAATTACCCTAAATACAAGGATACACCTTAAATTGTTCGTCGAAAAGTACCAAAAATTAAGTCGGCCCAGACAGAGCGGCGACAGGGAGCTGACCCCCCGTGACCCCGACGTGATAAGGCGCCCGGCAGGGAACCCCCCGCGGCAACTAAAATTCCACCGCCGGTGCGCCGTGTTAAAAATACATTACAGATTTTTTTAAAGCTTTTTTTCTAAATGTAGGGGGTTTTATTCCCCCATCGACACAATTTAAATCATTTTGTAAGTGGGCTTTGACCCTGTCTGTCATTTAGCGCAACAAAAAAAGATGGTCAGACAAAAACAAGATTGGAGGAAAAGGAAGGAAATACCAGTGGAGCCCTCCAGCCACCCACAAGGGAAAAGTTACACAACAACTTGTATTGTTCTGAGTTTAACAGAAGCATATGAGCACCATAATGGTAATTTAGTGTTGACAAAGAACAAGACGGAAGATAAACCCCAAAAAATAGTGATAGCAAAGAAGATGCGATTCATCTACTAGGTCAACACAAACAACACAAGAGAACAAAATAATAAAATAGGTTGCATTTCCATACGGCGGAAAACACACAGGCAATGCTGGCATCTCCTTCAAGTGGCGTATTTTGGCAATTTTTCAAAATGAATGCACAGTATTGAATATGGTATCAAAATTTAGCTCAAACCCTGTAGATTTCAGAAATGTTTGTCTCATGGGCAACAGCTTTCTCGTTATGTAATAAAGGGTGCGTAATCACAGGTACCCAGGTGTAAACATTTAATTAACATAAGTTCAATTTACTCACTTAAAAGTGATTTCAATTGCTTATCTCTGCAATAATGTCTTCCAAACTGAAAGCAGGACCCATCCTGATATGCTCAAAAGCATATATAAAAGCAAAATCAAGCACAAAATTCAAGATTTATGAAAAGGGGAGACAATTAAATGAAGCCGACCAATGCATGGTTTACACAAATATATTTATTACACCAATTAATGAGTGGACATGAGAAAAAAAATTGAAAAATGAATAATGGCCTAGAGATCTAATGCCTCTTGTTAGTCCTTTTGTATTTGTCCAGGTGAAGAAGTCTGGTGATCCCTTATTTGTGGTTAGACCAACATCGTTGCTCTTGTAAAAGACATCGCTGGGGCTGCTCTTTTCACTTTTCCATAAATCTCACACTGAAGTCATCCTCCTCAAGCATTTGAACCTTAACCTACTGGAAAAAATCAAATAACACACCTTGAGAAATAAAGAACTTAGTTGGGAAAAACAGCAATTATTTGTAATAAATATTATTGATCTGATTTGTTAAATTTCAATCGGAACTAACAATTTTAGCCGTTTACTAACCATGGCAGAATATGTCCACCCTTGCCTCTTTTGGCCTCTATTTTTTCAGTAAGTTGTGGATGTTCTAGGCTTTTTTTAAAAGTCAAATGAATGTATCACACCTACATTTGTCTCTTTCTTATTGTATTTATTAGTGAGTCCCTAGTAGGCCTTCTTTCTCGCATTCTGCACAACCTTATTTGATTTCTTTTCCTCATAATATGAAACAGCAGTCTCCTAAAGAAACATCTTTCTGTTGTGTCTAGATTACTCTTTGACAACTTATATTCATGGCATAGCCATTCAGAAGGCTTGACCACAAACAGTCCCAAGGATTGTGAAGTTAAATCAAAGAGGTCTGGAGACACACAAGTCTATAAAGACTGACTTTAAATCATCATATCTTCTGGAATCTCTTCATTGTCAAAACCCCCCCCCCCCCCCCCCCCCCTTAATTCTCATTCTCAAATTTTTGGAATGCATTGTTCGCTATCTTCATTTTGAAGTTTCTCTATATAATATTAATATTTTTTCGTTACATGTCTCCCGCCCCCCCCTCCTCTTAGTTCCATTCTATGTCTATATTGCATGTTTCCACAATTGATTTTGACTGTCTTTTCTTCTTGTTCATTAAATTTAATTTAAAATATTTTTTAAAAACTAACTAAAATTCATTGGAAGCTGATCCAAGTAGATCTAGATCGAGGCCTATCTATTCTATTCTGAACATCGTGACACAACGATCTTTGAAATGCCATCCCCCCTTCCTCCCCCTTTCCGATTACGCGGCCCCCATTTTCTTGCCTTCGCGGCGATTTCGTGTTGTGCTTTCGAAAAAGTTAGATTTAGGCGCTTATCTCACATCATGGAGCAATTTAAAGATTTATTTACGCTGAAAATGAAACTAGCATGGATAATGACTTACATTTCGTGATATTTGGGTTGAAAATTGCATTTAAGACTAAGATTTAGCCTCATTTTGTTGTTCACGGGTCTTGTTTGTTCGACCTGTGCACGACAGACATGAAAAATGCGGTTTTTTTAAACTTAATTTAACAATAAATGTTAGAAAATGAAGAGAAACGATGAAACTATGGCCTAGAACTGTTAAAAGCTTTGTTTTGGACAATTACTGCAAGATCGTTGTATCGTGATAGCAAATTCCAGTTTGTTCACCCAGTAGAATACGAGCGACGGAAACCCGGATGATCGCGAATGAATAGCCGTTAATCTTTTAAAAATCTATTTTTCTTACTTTTTAAAATACAAATTATCGCAGTTATGATCAAAACATTGTCAAAACATGTTTAGTGGCAACTAGAACAAAAAATATGCTAAAACTAACAAATTTAGAATTACGTGAAAAAACGAGACACATGTCGACAATGCAGGCAATTAGGATTTTTTAAAATATTTTTTAGAAAATCGTGATTAATTTCATGTTTTTAATGCCAAATCATACTATTATCATTCTAGAACAAATTCTTAGCAAAATTACCATTAAAAATTATGAAAAAAATAAATTAGACTTACCCTTCTCTCCATGTGTTCTGTTGTCAAATAAACATTGTCTGTCGTCATTCCATGGGTCCAGGAACTTCACAAAACCACAACTTTCACAAAATGTAAAAACTCACAAAAATGTTGCTGTCCCAGCTTCTCGAAACTTCACTCTACGATATCAACTAAAGATACGCACACACAGTTATCCCGTTTCTGAGAAAAATTGTTCAGAATACAGAAAGTGCCATTTTGTCCTCATCTGTGTTTTCCGCAATACATCATATCCCTACAAGAAAGAAAGCTCTAAACACTCTATATTCTATAGTTACCCTGACCAATCCTATAACATTCTCAGCTTCCCTGGAAGTTTAGTTTGGTTTTTGTAAGAGTTTTACAGCACCCACTACACAATTAGGTCATATAAGTGCCAAAGACTAGTGTCTTACAAGAGAATGACAAACAAAAAAAGAAAGAGGAGATATGGAAGATAGATGTCTGGTAGGAATGAAGGAGCACCCAACTGTTTGAGCTTAAGAAAAGGGCATCGACACAATAATCGTCAATGAACATTTTTTTAAAAGATGAGAATCAGGAAAAAAAGATAGGAATGAGAACAAAGCAACACAGGAAATGTAGAAGAAACAGACCACACCAGAGTGACAGCCCACTATACATCACCAATCAGGTACAAACAATGGAATGTGTTCTGGAAGCTCAACTTACTTGAAGGCAGCGGATGGCAGCAGCTCCGTGTGGTACATCACCTTGGACTTGTGGGAGGTGAGGGCAAAGTCAAAGGATGGCTTGGTGCTGTCAAAGTACTTCCATTGGAGGATGTACCGGCCAGGCTGTGACGTCACATGGGAGCCCTGACAGAAGGAAGAACAAAGGGCTTCTTGTTACTGCACTAGAAAAGCACATAAACGGGAGAACGATCACATTTTTTTTTAAAGACACATTTAGAACGCATGGTAAATGTAACAAGCTCTGAATGAGAAGCAGGGCAATATTTCTAGTTTATAAGTTAAACATTTTTTTTTTCACTTATTTTTTTAGCGCTTTGTCCTTCTTCATCCTCTAAACTCTTCCCTTCTCGTCTTCCTTCAATCCTTGTCCCTCAGAGACAGGCCCTCTTGAGCAGAGAAAGACAGGAAAGGACATATAAGCTTAGTGGAGAGTCAGACCTGTACGCTGTCTCCATCCCTGCATATATTCGGCGGCTCCACAATGCTAAGGTCCCGGCCCACCATCAAAGACTTGTCGATGTACTGCACTGATCCCAAGCCACCGCCGGACGGGCCGCTCACATGGTGTTGGTGGTAAGGTTGAGATGCCACTGACTTGCGACAGAAGAAAACTGTGAAGGTCACATCACCCTTCAAGATGTCAAAGTCCCAGGTGACCACACTGCCTTTTTCAGGGACCTCCATGAGAACCTGGATGGAACAGAATTTACATTTTGCTATAATTCTAAAGCCTGTGGCCCATTCATCACCAGAATTCAAACGGTATCACCACATTCAACTTTAAGTATCATTATGCTCCCAAAAGTAACAACACAAAATTATCTTACTACACTGCATGCGTGAAACAGAAAGTCAACATTTCAAAGGTAGAAATGTCATCATTACATCTCCATCGTCAAAAAATATGACAGAACGACACCTGAAGTGTCTTGGCAGAATAATTGATACACATACAAAACAAGCCTGTCAACTTTTTCAAAACCCAATCAGGGCCCCCAAAGTTATAACGTCAGAATATGCAACAACAAACAAAATAACATCAAGTGGGACTGGTTTTGGTGTAGAGAATAAGATAAGTCTCTCAAATTCCTGATTGGTGAATCCGGGACAGTCCCTGGAGAATGTTAAATGTTACAACTTTGTATGCATAAATGTAAAGCTTGGAAAGTAATAACTTGAATATGTTCAAGAACAAAATATCTTCTTAATGGTATCTCAGCCCAATCTCTACACGACACAATTTTGGTTCATGGACAGCCATCAACATTTAATATAATACATATATTCTATTTGTATGTTTATTTTTTTTCTTAGGTTAGTGAGTAATGTGCAACTTTATTTGTATAGTATTTCAGTTACTGTCCAATAAACTTTTCTCCCACCCCAACACTACAAACACGAACAACAACAAAAAACTCTTCAAGTCAATAACCCTGTACCTCCTTCTTTTATTTGGATAGAGTTTCAATTACTGTCAAATACTCTCCTCCTCTCTTCCCTTCCCTTTACACACACACACACACAAAGAAACTCTTAAAACCCTGTACCTCCTTCTTTTATTTGTATAGAGTTTCAATTACTGTCAAATAAACTCCTCCCTCTTCTCCCCCCTTCCCTTTACACACACACACATAAACAACAACAACAACAAAATCTTGAAGTAAATAACCCTGTACCTCCTTCTTTTATTTGTATAGTGTTTCAATTACTGTCAAATAAACTCTGTCCTCTTCTCCCCCCTTCCCTTAACACACACACACACACAAACAACAAAAAACTCTTCAAGTCAATAAACCTGTACCTCATGTGGGAACTCCTTCACCACCGCTGCTGTCTGGTAGAGGCTGTCAGTACTTAATGGCTGCTCCTCAGGCGACTTGTCCACCAGTTCCTCCTGGTACAACGACTTGGGCACCAGGCCACCCTCAGACACATCGCACTGTGACAACAGAGCAAAAGACGGGAAATATTCCTTATGATTGCAGAAGAGAAACTGTACACACCGGCACCACCAACAGGTCTATAAACCATAGCTTTTAATGACAGTGGTACAGACAACCAAAGCGACTGCAATCCTTCCCTCATTTGCCAATATCAGTCCTTGTAACAGCTTTCCTACATTGAAGTCATGAACTATTCAGCCCTAAAGTGAAACAAAATAATTTCTCATCTGCCCCTTGATAGACATTTAGTATATGCAGCCTTTTTGTTTGCTGTCGTTTTTGTGGCTTCCAGGAATACGAGTCACCTGTTCACAAGAGAAGTCACGAATATTTATTAAAATTATTCTCATACAGACCCCCCCCAAAGAACTATGTGCTTTGTCCAAATCAAAGTTCACAAAGTCCTTAATGTATGGATACACAACCTCTGAAGTAACATGGGTCTCAGTGAAAGTAATTAACAACCTCAAGGAACTGTGGCTACTGTGGTTACTCCCAAAAACCTCTAAAGCAAGTAGGCTTTTATGAAGGGCACTTATACATATCACCCACAGAAAGAGAGGGATTAATTTCTTTCAAATTTACGTCGAAAGTTGACCCTCACTCGAACACATAGACCTCTCCCCCCCACCCCCCAGGGCAGTGCTACTGACTGAAGTATCTTTATGCCATTCCCAAAGAGGGGATATTAACATGTTCTTACGCACAGTAGAATAGTAAATGGACTGATTTATCAATGTCATGCTCATACTGTGCCGTAACAACATAGGGGGAACTGCTGCTTTTTCTTTCCTCATCCTTACTAACGTCATTTTTCCTCTACTTCTTTTCTATGTTTGTCACTCTCTTGTGAACTATTTTCGGGGCGCCTTGATAGTCGAAGCAGACTTTGTGCTGTTGAGGCTAGAGAGGTGAGCAGAGTAAGCCTGATTCTCCGTTTGGACTTCTCTGTTGACATCAACCGCATGGCGCTCATATGACCTTATGTAGTTGCGAGCGCCATAAAACCTTACTAAAACTAAAAACACATATCACTGCCCATTCAGAAAACAACTGCATACCACCCTCCGTTCAATTACTCAGATACTAACGGTCCAGAACACACTCTTTCCCAGTGACTTACGAAGCAGTCGCCTCCAAGGAAATCAGGAATGTACTGTTTGTCCATGAATTCAACCAGCCCCCCTGGTCCAAGGTAATCTTTACCACCGTAGATCATGAACTTGTTGCGCGTGTTTTCATCGATGAACGGACTGACCAGCGTCCAGAGCACCGGGAAGACACGCGGGGCCCGCACAATGAGCAGGCGGCCCATGGTCTCAGGGTAGTTTGCCTCCACCGTCTCAATGATCCGCAGCAAGGCTCTGATGCCCGGCCGCCACAGGTGACGCATGCTCAGGCCTTCCAGGTCCACAATGCAGGTGCATGCACTGAGGACAAAAGTGACCCTTGATGTTTCAAACCTCTTATCACACAATTTAGATCGATCTAGGAGGCCAGCTTCTCTCACCCTGCCTGGCTGGGCTTACCTGGGCTACATGGGACGCTAAATCTTCTTAGAAAAATATAAAATATCTTTCCATCCTCAAAAGACATAAAATGTAGATCAATATTGCACGAATACTGTTGTCTGTAGCAGCAAAACAGTGTCCATGACTTTGTGGGAATTGAATTCAGGCTCTTTGGGTGCTAAGTAGAGAGCTTAACCATTACACCACTGACATCTGTGTGAAAAACCAGATGGAAGATTCAAAGAGGCACCAGCACTATTTGGTCCATGGTGGTTACTCAAATCTATCGTTTCAAAGGCAGAACATTAGCCCAAAGCAAAAAGAAAGGAAGAAGAATGAAGAATAGAAAACAGCAGAGATAAAGAAGACAACCAATATCACAAATGGTTCAAGTGTGTCATCCCACCGTGAGAGACTTTTTCCTTCCTGCTAGTGTTTCCTGAATTTTTGTGTGACTCCTACCCATTAGTCTAGGGATGAAAGCACAATAAACAAGGCCTTGGAAATATCCACCAATCTGGGAGCACCTTTCAACCACCCTTAGGAAATAAACTGCATCTAGAATAGAAGTGCAAGCATTATAAAAAAAAATATATACAAAGTGGCATGAACCAGCAATTTTCTCATTTTCATAACAGCTCCTATGCTTTTTGTCTTTAAAAAGCCATAGAGAGCACCAAAGAACTTGGGAATTTCTGCTTGAGCAGGAGCTTTCATAATAAAACATTGAATTTCTTTCCAAACAGCTTGACGTATCAGAGCACTACAGGCTGGTTACATATGATACTTCCAAGTGTGTTTAATTGATGATATTCTTTTTTGTAACTGGGGAGAGATTATCAAATGGAAAAGAAGAAAAGTTCAACTTATAGCAGAAAAACAGTGAAGCTAATAACTTCCAAGTATTTCTAAAAAGTGCTTAGAAAAAAAAACCCATCACTTAACACCTTGGAAAAACAAGGCAGGTGGACAGAAATGATGACAGATGGAGAATGAAACAGTACAGTAAGTTGAAGGAAAAACTTTCCAACAAAACCGCACTTACACCCATCATCTAATGATGGCCTATTTGAGGCTTACTTGACACTTATGTGACATAGAAGCTCTTCAATACATAACATGCCATTCTTCAAACATGTCTGACAAGAATTCACCTCACTGGATGTCCTCTCTTCTGAGTGGCTGCCTCTGCACGTCTCAGACCCTCCTCATTCACGGCCAAGACCTGGAAAGTCAAAGTCACATGATCGTCAGCAGGATCTTTCCATTTTCAAATCAACCACAGAAACAAGAGGTTGATGATTGTAAACGTTTTACAACCCCATCAACATTACTCCTGTAACACAATAGTGTCTACTTACAATATGAAATATAAAGATTTTAAAAATGAGGCTACAGGCAAAAGAAATAACCGCATTGCCTGCAAATGCTATGATTTTTTTGGATCAAAGTTCACACCATTACCTTGAAATGATGGACTCCATTTAGTATCATTCCTTTCCCAGCACAGAAATTCAAAGTAGTAAAAAGGAAACCTTGTTAGTGAAAATACTTTCAACAGTAAATACTACTGTGAACTCCATTCCGTTTTCATACAACATAAAACTGTAGCTGAACTTTTAACAAGCTTCCAATTTAATTTATTTTTCCTTTTTCCCTGAAGAAGAGATTCACAGAAAACACAGGCTCACATGTCTGAGAATTGCTTCTTCTCCCACAGATCTCATCAGACCTTTCACATCCATCTGTCCCAGCTTCAGAATGTACAGAGGCCTGCCATCTAAGGTGGAGGGGGAATAAAAAGATCAAATTACTATGACTGAGATAAAGTAAAGAGAAGCACAATATCAAAACAACAGCTATGTAGCTCAGGGATAAAACAAGATAAGATAGAAAGTTACAACACGACAGACAGAAAAAAAGAAAAACCTACCAAAGGCGTTCTCCAAATATCCCCATTATTATGATCAAACTTCCATGATCTCAACATTTTAATAACATCAGCTTAACTCAACTGGCCACTTCATTCGAAGTGTTAAACACATACTGAACAATAAGGTTATTTTTAGTAACACTTAATCTTACTCAAGGCTCTGCTTTCCTTTTTTTTTTTTATTCCCTGTCCACAATAAAGAATAATTCAGTTTTACTTTTTCTTTGAACAGCGACAAAAATGAAGTATGGTTTTTGTCAATTTTAAAAACTCAAAAGCAGAGAACGACTCATGTTCACGATTTTCATGACTTTCTTTCCAAACACTATCCACAAAGTAATCCAGAAGGTTGATCATGGTAATAAAATAGCACCTGACCAGACAAAGATCTGTCATGTCAAAAGTAAATCCTTTAATCCAGTGCTTTGAGTTAAGAACAAGAAAAAAATGAAAGCAGAGAGACTAAACCCTGAATTAATTATTACACAGGTAGAACTATGTGTTATTCCAGCATTAGAGAATGAGTGTTAAGCTTTTACACCCTGGCCAACACAATTCAAAGGAGATGGTCGGCTTCAACCCTGCCAATCAGGGCCAACCTCCACTGAGTGGGGAACACCATCCAAGTACACAGATGGAGGTACCCATACAGCTACTTTCCCATTGAGGAATCGAATTAGTGTCCTCTGCGTACAACAATAAATAGCCCAACCATTGCACAACATTACATCATTATTAGAGCAGTATAAACGGTGGACGTGCAGTGGATCTTTAAGTCCCCCCACCTATCACAGCAACTCAGGAGGAAAAACACAAGAAGAGCAAGGACCAACCAATGTCACAATAATGCCAGCCCCCAGGGTAGTATTTCTCCAGGATCTCTGGTGGTTTGTAGCCATCCAAGATGCGGTCAATGTTGTGAAGTTTCCGCCAAGCCAATGAGTGCACCAGCATCTCACGAGCTTTCTCCACATTAAATTCACGAGCACGCAGAAATCTCAGAATATGGGCATCCTTTGGGATCTGGAAGGAACAAAACTCCAAATAACAACTTGTAGGTTTGAAATATGTATAAATGAATTCCATTTTCACTTGACCAACACCGAATCAGGAATGGGAGTGAGAAAAAGGTGAAAACACCAAAACAAGATAAGAGAGTAATTATTAACTCTTTTTATCTCTGAGGGGGGTAAACCCACTATTCCAGGGCCGTTTTGGTACAAAATCTAAAAATGACAGAAACGTCACTAAATTCGTCATTGAATCAAAACAAGTGAAACTATTTTGATAGTTTTACATCAAATGAATGCGGTCCCGGTAAAAGAGACCTGATTTCAGCAATTGCTGAAAAGTAATTTGACGTCAAAGTCGTTGTAAGTGAATGTGCCCGAGCCGCTGTCAGCGACTCACCAGCACAGCGGTTCCAACCACGAGTCACTGGAAGCAGCTTACCAGAGTAAGAAAGGTGATTCCATTTGTCACTGATGGCTGTGGGTTCAGTAGTTGAGAGGAAAGTGGTTTATTTGTCTGACATCTTACTTGACACAGATAATTGCAATAGCATAGCATTAGACCATAAAAGATACGAGTAATCATGTAAGAAAAAACAAAAAGATAAAAATTATATACAAAAGTAAAAGTAAACATCACATCTCCACATAATAAAATATCAGCATTTGTGGTGTAGCATTTTGGTGCTTCCTCATCACGAGCAGAAGCCTAAAGTGATTCCTAGGGGCGGGCACAAGATGAGCCGAGCATTCGTTTCTCGCGAGAAATGCCCTTTCCGTCGCTGCCCGGGCACTAAACTACTGCCCGGTACCGAAAAGTGATACTGCTCGTTGGCTTGACATAGCAAGTAACAGTAACGAGAGTGAGAGAGTGAGAGGAGAGAAACGACACGCAGACAGTGCCACCTATCACCGTGCCGTCCTGTGTGTGAAACTGAAAGGGAGGGGAGAGGGTGGCGAGACGAGGCAAGTGGGGAGTTGATCAGGGCCTAGGCCTAGATCTCCCTACCTTCCTTCACCGCCTGCGCAACAAGGCTAGCCTAGTTTAGATCGTTAAGCGAGTTGCCCGTACTGCAGGGCGAGAAGAGTAATCTCAGAGTTGCCCGTACTGCGGGGCGAGAAGAGAAATTGGTCACGAGACGAGAAGCATTTCTCAGGACACGAGACGAGAAGCATTTCTCGGGACGCGAGAAGTAGGTCAGCTTCTCGGTCTTCTCGCTCGGGAAGGAAAAAGCGCTTCTCGCCCGCCACTAGTGATTCCCCACTGGGAAAAATTTTTATTGAGTATCTCAGTCTTTTTGCTGGGACGTCGGATCACTATGAGCATGGGTTGGCCCTGGCATATGGGGTCCAAACTCGCCTCCTATATGATCAAAATTTTGCTGATGAGGGCATAAAACACCTACATCAGGAAACAAAAAGAAAAAACACAGTTACACGAATATTTGCATTATTCCAATATTAAAGACACAGCATCTCCTGTAGGTGTACAGGTAGTCTATTCATTATCCTCCACCCCAAGACACACAGAGGGGGAACAACGAGAAGCTTTTACGAAATTTACCTTTCCCTTGTGAGTCTTCTGGAGCCAGCGTCGCAGCTGCACAAGCTGGCTCTCCTCAACCGTGGTCAGGTGACCCAAAAACCGAGCAATGTAGTCATCATCAATCTTGTTGATGTTCTGGTCACCTCCGTAGGAGCAGCTTGGGGTCTCCACTGACATAGCAAAAACAACAAACACAAGCGTCAGAAATAATACAGTAAATGCTAAGGTCTGAGCTACAAACAACTGATCCATTACATCTTGGTAAGCCTGAGGCCCCATTTTGGCATTCCATTTACAGACCTGCCACTCTATAAAATCTAAAAATCAGGATTTTAGAGTTAAAAAATCAGGATCTGGTGAAAAAAATCGGAATCAACGGCAAATCAGCCATACGGGGCACTGGGGAAGGGGGGGGGGGGGGGGTGTTCTGGTTCCCTTTTAAGACTTTTATGAGGCAAGTATGCAACGCAAAACTTTTGCAGGAATAAGTTCACATTTGGGCCTCTAAAAAGAGGGAAAACTGAAAGACAGCATAATATGTACTCGAGTCGGAGTTGGATAGACTGGGGGAGCAAAGGTTGCAGTTAAGCTGAAACTCTTGTAGTCTTGAAAATAGCTGACACATAACTCTAATCATCCATTCAAAAAGCCCGTGTTTTCATACTGTAACAACCTTTGACTTCCATCTCAAATACACTCAAGGCTTCCCCCCCCCCCCCCCCCCCCCCCCCCCGAAAAAAAGGTCGCGCCAAGGTTGTTTTTTTTTCCTTATTCCTTTCCCCTCAATTATTAAGCCCAAGTGTAAAAAAATACACCCCCTCCCCCGGTCGTCCACACTGGTTCAGTCCCGAAAAATACCTCGACCAACGAGATCGGTGTGAATGATAGACCATGTGAGCCTCAACCAGATTGTCTGAAAATTTTGCGCAACCCCCCCCCTCCCCTATAAGAGCTTTTGTGGGTGTCATAAGGAAAGACTTCTGAGTAATGAGCGACCACCCCAACAAACACAATAAAGAAGAGACCTAACCCTAACCCTAGGCCTACCCCAAAAAAGAACCTGCAACGGGCCTCATGTAAAACGAACACGGCTGTTCCCGAGCGGAGCACTTAGTTACCTGAGGAATTGACCCGGTCAGCCATTCTGCGCCCGGGTGGTCAGGGAGGTCACTTTGACCTTTACTCAACGAGTGAACTGTTGTGACTTAACAATATTTATACAGTTTGATATCGTCATTGTGGCTTTGCCCACAGACAAATCAAAGTCAAAATACTATCAACAGATAGAGGCATTCTTGAACTGTACAGCAAATAACTTTTTATTGATATTCATAGCTCGGCACCCTTTAAAACATGGTGCAATTGAGGGCACCTTTGAGGAAAATTTTTACATGGGTCTACTTTTTAAATCTACGATATTTTAAAATGTGAACCCCAGATCTATAAAACAATCAGTGGTATACAACAGTGATGTGATGAGCTTTCAGAAACACTTACTTTTGGTTCGATTGGTTCAGAAACGTGGAAATTGTAGAAGATTTACTACGGTCCAGCTCATGAAACGAGAGATTTTTCTTTGTCACCTCACAGTTCAAGCAGAAATGGTTAACTTGTAGAAGGTTAACTGCTATCCAATTCATGAAACAGGAGGTATTTCTTCATTATCTTCTCAAAGCTAGAGCTGCTTTCATTTTCACAAACACAAATATGAATACTCTTAACAATAAATGCAAAAGTGTTTTTGAGTTCAAAGGCTAGTTGTCTTCCTCTTCTTTCCCTTCAGTAACAGCTTTCAACTGCTTCCCTTTTCCCTTAATTCCCACTGTCCTCTTCTCCAGTTTTGCGAAGCTGAAGTGAACAAGTTTGCCACCCTCCTCGCTCATTAAACCTAGATCTAGGCCAAATCTATATCAATCTGTACCTTCCTTTTCCCTGCCGAGGAGTAACGTTTTCTGAGTGTCATTTGTGTAGCGAGTGTTTCTTCTAAATGAGACAATGGTTGTGTAATAGGTCTCTAAAGTGCATGCTCTAGTGATGTGTCTTCAAACTGTCTTTGAACTCTTTCTATGTACGTTTGGGTGTTGAAGTCGCGGCTGGTGTCTCAAGGGTTAGATCTCTGTGTGGGGAGTTCACTGGTGATATTTCTATGGATGTCTGTTGAGTACTTTCATGTGATTGTTTGTCTGCTTCACATGGGTCGGTGTTTCAACAGATGGAGGCTCTGGTGGGTCTTTTGAGCAAGACAATGTTTGATGTACTTTTTTAATACAACCTTTATTTTGAAGTGTGCAAAGGGAACACACAGGGCAAGCATCTACTGTTTTATTTGGATCGAAAAGTGTTCAGATGTGTGAACTTTCTTCAATACATCTACGTTTTTGTGCTACAGCTAGGGTTGCTTCTCAAATTTTCAAGGTGTATATATGCACTGTAGGCCTACACATTTGTTGCTCAGTGTACAGGATGTGTGTCTGCACTATCCCAGTCCACGTTCACGTGATAATGACAGAGAACAAGTACGTCATTCTTAAAATTTACACAAAAATATAATTTGCTCTAGTTTGCCTTCTTAACCTTTTGACTTTTGGCCCCGCACGTTCTACACAATTTTTTTAAACACTCAACATGTAGTTCCAGCGTGTTCCATTTTCATTCTGGTAGCAGACTCTCATAACACGTGCTGACACAGAATCCCAGAAAGTGAAAGCAGGACCTCGGATGAATGCCGTACGGGCAGCGCGGCGGCCGGGAAAATATTACGGGGTGAAGTAACAAAACTCGCCATCCTACTAACGTTTTTCAACCAATCAAAACAATTTTTTCACAAATAACCTCCTTACTGGCTCTTAATACAATAGATAAAAAACTGGTTGCAATCTGAAGTTCACGAATGGAAAAAAAATCCTGATTTTGGAGGATTCCGAAAAATACGTGCACCACAAGGTAGGGATAAGTACAGAGGCAGTGTGTGATCACGATTAGAACTAGAACCAAACGAAAGGATGCGGGTTATTTGAGAGAATCTGAGCTTTCATTTGATACCTCACACACCAATAGTGATAGATAAGAAGGGACATTTACAGGGGTCTAAATCAAGTGAAAATTACAGACTTTCTAACCGAAATCGGCTAACAGCAATTAAAGAGGGCTCGTTAGCGTGTGTCGGGGTCGGATGGGCGGCCTGCACACGTGTGGCTGTGTGTGCGTTTCGGGGAGGGGGGCACTAGCGGTCTGGGCATTGAACGTCGCATAGGCGTCAGTCTTTGGCCTCTCTGGGCTAAAATAAAAAAATAAAAAATGGTTCGACTTACAGACCAAGGAAAATCCCTATTGAACTTTAACAAGGCCTAAACTGGTAAAAGGAAAAGTAGGCCTATTCTGTTATTACTATACTTTGTTGGTAAAAGCTCCTCTTGGGGACAAAACCAGAATGTGCATGATTCATCACTACATAAAAAAATAAAGCAACAAATTATAATTATGGGGAACAATTGTTGGTCTTTGGGGGGGGGGGAGAGAAGAAGAGGAGAGGGAAAAAATCAAAACAAAACAAAACAAAACTTACGGGACCGGGGTTCGTTCCCACACTCATAATAGATAGATCTAGATCTAGATGGAAAGCTAGGCAAAAGATCTAGCTAGATCTCGTTTGCATCTAGCTAGATCTCGTTTGCAACAGTTTTTAGTGCCGGATGGTCTGCTAATCTTCAATTTTACTTTTTTCTACAACAAAGAAAGTGGGAAACATGGGGGGGTTGGGGGGGGGGGGGGGGCGTATCAATGTGACGGCGGGCATCGGATCGGCAGATAAGGTGTGGGGGGAAAGTAAAAAATGGTGGAAAATTGGAAGCACTGAATGTTAGATCTATAGAACGAAGACACTTCCTTTTCTCCGGACCTGAGTCCGAACAACATTTTTCCGAGTCCAAATAAAGACGGCCCATGTGAAAAGGCCAGCACAAGTCCAAAATGAAAAAATAAAAATACACTCCAAAACAAACAAGGAGTATAATATGGCCTACATCTACATTGCTATAATAGGGTTTGATTCAATTATAACATAATAGAATTGGAATATGAATCCTCCATATAGATTTAGATCTAGATCTAGATCTAGATCTAGATCTAGATCTGGATCTAGTAATCTAAAAATAAATCTAGATTTAGATCTAGATTTCTAGATCTTGTAGAACAAGTGAATAGGAATAGGCCTTGAACTAGAAATCCGCATTCGATTCCGAACAGAGGGACTCAGCTGAGTCTAAATCTAGATTCTAGATCTACATTTTAAGTCTAGATCTAAAAATCTAGATTCTAAATAAATAAATAATTCACGCACCTGATGAAATGCTTTTTACCAACATTAATATTACAGCACAACCTATGATAGGGTTTGACACAATAGAATTGGAATATGAATCCTCCATTGAGGTCTATAATGATCTATATAGAGTCTATATAAATCTAGATCTAGATTCTATTAGAACAAGTGAGTCGGACTTGAATGAATCCACACGATCAGAACAATTGATGAAACTGAAAGAAGATAATTTTGGTCATCTTCCTTCTCCGTATTCGCATTTCTACTCGGGTTCCGACAATTATGTCGGAAACGCCGACGTCCGCAGTCGGCGGTCGGCACGAAAACGAAAGTGCCGACAAAGCCGACGGGACAAAAAAGGGGGTGCTGGCAGTCGGCCAGGCCTCGCACTACGCACATAGACTAATACAGGTGGGCCTAGCGATAGCATCAGCCGGCTCGCGGGTGGGGTCACGATTGTCAGATTTCAGACAATTGTCGGCAAACAAGCAGGTCTAGAATGAACTTTGTTGACCCCGACAACCGACAGTCCCCCACCCACGAGCTACTCACACGTACAAGGTCATGTCACGTGACGCGAATGAGCATTTGAAAGTTCCACTGACAGGTCTTGATGATGGGCCCGACTAACCAGAAATGAAATTTGCTTTAAAGCAACGGCAGAAAAACGAATAGATTATTCTTAGGCCCATGTCATAATTGTTACAGTAATAAGGACACCATCGGAGAATTCTGGGTTATAAAAGCGAAAGTAGATCTTGAGCGTATCCAAGTCGGAATTCAAAATCGATACTACATCGATTTTAGTTGAAATGACGTGCGTGAGTCATCTACTAGATGCTTTAGAAATAGCGTTCCAAGTTCCTGCCGATAAAAAGTCCAATCCGTGCTTCCAAGCAAAAGAGATTGCAGAACTTGTATTTTTTTCTAAGAATCGCACGCAACGACAAAAAATCAGGATACTGCCGATCGAAATCGGGATGCTTGAGATTTGGGGCAAAAAATCGGGATATCCCGATTAAATCGGGATGAGTGGCAGGTCTGCATTTATCAACATTTGACCATCGGTACCAATACACCAATAAGCATTTCATCACAAAGGGTGGACCAACTCAACACATGTATTGTTGTCTGATAAGACAGAGCAGTGCCAAAAAATGTTTACTGTTCTTAGATCAATGAATCTTTGGACACTATTCAACTATACCTCCCTTCCATCAAAAGGGAAAACTTCCATAACACTGTCGCTGCCACCGTAAACTTACAAGACAAGTACATCCTTCCAAACAAATCTACTTGCTGACACGACTTTTCTTCTACTTTCAATCTACAGGCAAAAACAACTTTCAGCCATAAGGAAAGGTAGTCACCAGTTCAACACATTTGTCAATTAAGTAAAACACTACTTGCAGAGATGCCAACCACTGAAAACCGAAATGAGTATTGGGAAATATGAAAATGTGTATTTTCTGGGGAAAATGTGTATTCCCCACGATCAACCGACCGACCAACCATTAATAGTAAAATGTTCAAGGTGTCCAGCAATATTTTCTGAAAAAAAATTACTTGCCCACCAGCTCGAAAAAGGGAGCACACACGCGTACAAATACATGTATCCAGTCAACAACTCGTCAGTGTTCAATGTCATACTGGGGTCTTGTTTGACTTAAGTATTTCAGTCTATTTTATAATATTTTCCTCTCATTATTATATAAAAAATAAATCCTGCTTTGTGAGTTCGGAAGGGCCTACAACAAGCATTTCGACTATCAAGAACCAGTCTGGGTGTCATGATTCATATTATGAACTGACAGACTCAAATTAATGCTCAAACTCAGAGAAAAGCAACAACTTGAAAGGCTCAAGTAGACCCATGCTCCATGAGAGTTGTAACAACTGTGGTAGGGCAAGATGCAGTGACACTGAAAATATGCCAGTCTTGAACAGAAAGCTACAACATGTACTGCAGGTATAATTTACTATCACCCATCCAATGAAACGCGAACACTTTATTTCAATAACACAGACTTGCAAAGTATGAGGGGTTCCGATTCCGCACACGGCCTGCACCAAGGCGCGCTTTGCACAAAACTAATCAAAATTCTGAAATGTGCTTCCAAGTTTTTGTCATCTGGTGTTGCCTTAAAAACACACCCCCCCTCCCCCGATAGTATCTTATAACCCCCAAAAATCAATAATCTCCTCCCCTATGCCGTAGTCATATACTTCGCAGCACCGCTACTCCCATCAAAGACGGTCTTTGCTCACCAGATGCCGTTATTTATGATGCGAGTGCGCGCATTCGCAATGGCGCAGGTTCAGTGACCGGTCACGATGGCGAGCCAGACAATCTAGAAATCAGACGACGCTTGTATTTTCTTTTCTTTTTTTTCCCCACAAGTGACAGCACAGCGACGAGTCCGAGTATTTATTACATTTTATTTGCACGGCCACATTGCGTTTATAATGCACAACCTGCATGCCACAAATGTTGCGTTTTCAG